CACACACACACACACACACACCACTCACCTGACCCTTCTGCACAGACTGTGACGACAACAAGGCCGGTGACGATGCACCAACTTTTGATGAAGGTAGGGGTAGTGACGGAGGCAAAGGCGTTGGTGGAGCAGCCTCCATTGACGACATTTGAGGCTGTTCATCATGATGCCGTTTCAGACGCAGTAGTTGACTGGCACACATCGAGTTCGCTGGATTCTTGTGACCCTCCTCTTCGCTCACAGACACCGCCTGTAGCTTCGCTACTGCACCAGTAACAGTTGTTGCAGCGACAGCGATGGTCGTAGCGACCACCTCCGACACAGATCCTCCAGACGAACTGGGACCAGCACCGACAGTGGGACTGCCCATGTGTACCACTTCTTCACCTGACCCTCTGCTTGCCCGCTGACTCTAATGAGCGATCCACACAAAGCAATTGTGCCACAGTCCTATCGTCTTAAATAAGGCAAATTTCAATGCACCCACCTTCTCCGAGGACTCCACCAGTGTCTCCGTTGCTACTGCTTCGATTGCAACGGGGCCATACACCCGAGAAAATGGCTGCGACGACTTATTTTCTGCCGCCGCCGTCGCCACCGTCGTTGTTGTTGTCGTCGTCGTCGCCACTGCCGCCACCACCACCTCTTCCCCACCGCCTCCTCCAGTCGACATCGACATCGTCACTCCCGCTGTCCCCACTGTCGTAGTTGGTTGTGAAAGTGCAAACGATGCCGCCGATGGCTGTGATGCTTGTTGAGATGACAAATGGGCACCACCGGCGATCAATAGACGCCTCCTGTTCAAAATTTTTGGCACTGTTGAGGTGCCCGTGTATACCTTGCGGATAACCTTTCTGGGGCTATGTCGACGAAAACTTAGCCCTCCGGCGAGGGGCAGCACAAACGGAGAAGCTGAATGATGAGGCTGAGGAGCATGAGATACCGCCTCTCCGCCGTCACTATCACCCTCCACTGCATTGCTGTCTCGTGAGCGCGGACGTCGCGCCACACCTCCCGACGACCGAGCAACAGCTGCAGCCGCAGCTGCAGCCGCAGCAGCACTCAAATGCCGCATTCCCATACGATGCAACGGATGCAACATGCGTCCCCCACTTGACTGCACACCTCTCCGACGAGCTGCCACACTCAATACGCGACTCCTGCTGAAACCCATAGTAGAACTGGGCCGCAGAGACGGTGGCGAGTTGCACACTGCCACCTCACGACCTTTCAATCCACCCTCGCCATCAGAGTGAGTATCTGAGCACAAAGTATCGCCAGCGGCACCACCACTCCCACTAACAGCAGCAGCAGCAGCAGCAGCAACAGGAGCCGGTGAAAGGGCCTGTGCACCGCGAAAAGCATTCGATGCTAACGCCGTTGCAGATGGAGACGACTGTGCAACCGAAATACTGTGCTTCCTCACCTGTCTAACCGATGTCTCGGCTCTGGGATGATAGGTGAGAGTAATGTTGAACTCCTGTTCACCATTGGCATTGGTTTTGGTAGAGAGTCCATTGATACTGAAGCCAGTGTCAGTTACACGCTGCAGGAGCATACTGAGATCATCGCTGTGCAGTTGCTTGATGTGAATCTCGTCACCTTCCTGCACCACACTACACGTCAGACCTAACACTACACGGTCAAGCAAGGTGAGTCTTCGATGCAAATCCCGTCGATGATGATGACCACCACGCACCCTCTCCATGTGCTCCTCATCACCACATACCGTGGCAGAGGCAGCAGCATTCCTTGCAGTTGCAAACACTCTCGAAGACCTGTCGTAGAAAGAACTCCCTTTTTTGCGTTGACCCGCAGGAAAGCCCACTTCACGCGACTGACTGACAACGGCAACCTTACGTGTGTAACACCTTTCACCTCCATCAAAGTCATTTGACAACTCCGACGAGCTCCTAGACCGTGATCTTGACGGTGTGCCTACCAATCGAAGTGCATTCCTTCGACGCTTCCTCTCAAACACCATCGACCTTGCACATCTCCTCAAATCACCTCCACGCGGTGCATTTGACTCCTTCAACGCCACACTCCCAACGCTCTTCACATACGCAATGTCCGCCTCGACACCAATCCCCTCGCGTCGACCGACCCCAGTCTCATGCTTTGTCTCACCTCCCTCGCCTCTCGCCTCCTCCAATCCTCTCGTGTGCTCCCTCGGCTCTCCTTCGACCTCCCCCTCCTCGTCTTCATCTGTAGACGTATGACCAGACACAGGTGCACGACGTTTACGGGTGGTTGCGACCTCACTACTTTTCTGCAGCTTCGCATTCTCACTTGCACCGCCGTAACAGAACTTCCAATCGATGTGATGACGAGTGTTCACCGACCGTCGAGGTCTTGTCTGCACAGTACTTCTGGAGACACTTCGCTTGTTCGACTCCAATAGGGGTCGTGACGACTTACGCGGGCGACCACGCTTCACTTCTGCATTCGATTGCAGCATGTGGGAGGCCTGAGATTTGGCCTGAGCCAACTTCTTCGCCGCCGCCCTAGCATTTCGATCACGAACCCGCTTTGCATTCCGTGACAGTCCAGTCAGACGCTCTGCCACCTCAGC